TTCCTCTCTGCTGCTTTCCCTTTTATTCACCAGCCACCAGAGCAGTCTGCCATGCAGTCCCTAGCTAGCAGGGCTGATTTTTAGGTTAATTCTTAGGTCCTACCATCACTTGGCAATGTCCAAGCTGTCTTTTCCGTCAGGATTTCTGCCAGACCACAGGTCCATATGTCTCCTTTTTTGGTGTTTTCATGCAAATTCTTCTGCTAGTTGGAGTTTAGTCTACTTCTGTATCCTTCCCTTCAAGGCTCAGGAGTCCAGGATTATCTTCTGTATCTGTGTTAATTGGTTCCCCTTTTCTTTGTTGAAGAGAGACATTTAAATGTCCTCTTTGGGGAACTGTCTGTTCAGGTCCTTTGCCCATTTTATATTTGGGTTATTGTCTAAAAGTTTGTTAAGTTGAGGAAGATTTATATATATTTTGATTAGTAGATTCTTCTGAGATACTCTCCTAGTTGGTAGCTTATCTTTTTACTTTTTTGGTAAAGTTTCATGAACTAAAGTTTATAATTTTTATCAGATCCTATTTATATATTTTATCTTTTGATATTACTGCTTTTGTTATTATATTAGATAACCCATTGTTGAAAGTTAGGCCTGACAGTGTTACCCTTGCTTGTTTATCTATGAATTTTATGGTTTTAGTTTGCCCATAATCAATGCAATTTTTCCATCACCTTTACCCCTCTTGTTCTCTCCCTTCCCCCCCTAATAACCACTAATAAACTTTTGGTCTCTATATATTTGCCTTTTCTTGTGTTTTCATATAAGTGAGGTTATATACAGTATTTGTCCTTTTGTGATTGTCTTACTTTACTCAGCATAATGTCTTCCAGCTGTGTTCAATTCTATAGCATGTATTAAGACTTCATTTCTCTTGCTGGCTAAGTAGTATTCTGTTGTACCACATTTTGTTTATCCATTCATCTGTTACTGTGTATTTAGGTTGTTTCCATCTTTCTGGCTGTTGTGAATAGTGTTGTAATGAACCTTGGTGTATATCTATCTTTTTGAGTTTCTGCTTTCAGACCCTTTGAGTATATACCTATGAGTGGAATTGCTGAATCAAATGATAGTTACATTTTTAGTTTTTTGAGGAACTGCCACACTGTTTTCCACAATGGCTATACCATTTTAAATTCCCCCTAGCAACGGATAAGGGTTGCAGTTCCCTGTATCTTTGTCAACATTTGTTACTATCTTTTTTTTTTTTTTAAATCTTAGCCATCTTAGTGAACATGAAATGGTATCTCATTGTGGTTTTGATTTGCATCTCTCTCATGGCTAGTTATGCTGAGGATCTTGTCATGTGCCTGGTGGCTGTTTAAATGTCCTTTTTTGGGGAACTGTCTATTCAGGTCCTTTGCCCATTTTATGTTTCGGTTATTGTCTTTTTTTAAGTTGAGGAAGTTTTATATATATTCTGGTTAGTAGATTCTTTTGAGATACTCTCCTAGTTGGTAGTTTATCTTTTTACTTTTTCGGTAAAGTTTTCATGAACTAAAGTTTGTAATTTTTATCAGGTCCTATTTGTATATTTTGTCTTTTGATATTAGTGCTTTTGTTATTATAGTAGATAACTCATTATTGAAAGTTAGCCCTGACAATGTTACCCTTGTTTATCTATGAATTTTATGGTTTTAGTTTGCACATTTAGGTCCTTAATCCATTTTTAATTTGTTTTGGTGCATAGTGTGAGACATAGGTCCTATTTCATTTTTCTGCATGTAGAAATCCAATTTTCCCAGCACCATTTATTTGACCGCTAACCAGAAGGCTGGTGGTTCAAACCCACCAGCCACTCCTCAGAAGGAAGATTGGGCGATCTACTTCCGTAGTGATACCACCTCGGAAACCCAAGGAGGGGTCACTATGAGTCGCTTCCAACTCTGCGAAAATGGGTTTGATTTTTTTGTTGTTGTTTTATTTATTGAAGAGACTCTTACTTTCCCATTGAATGGACTTACCACCCTTGTTAAAATCAACTGATCATAGGTGTGTGAGTTTATTCTGGACTCTCAGTTCTATTCCATTGGTCTATGTGTCTGTTGTCATACCAATACCAGGCTGTTTTGATCACCATTTTGATACTGTGGCTGTATAGTTTGTTGTTAGGTTTCTTGACCACTACTCCCATGGTATTGATTGTGGATCCCAGTAAAATGAAATCCTTGACAACTTCAATACTTTTTCATTTATCATGATGTTACTTATTGGTCCAGTTGTAAGGATTTTTGTTCTCTTTATGTTGAGATAATCCACACTGCAGACTGTATTCTTTAATCTTCATCAGTGAGTGCTTCAAATCATCTTTACTTTGAGCAAGCAAGTTTGTGTTGTCTGCATATTGCAGGTTGTTAATGAGTCTTCCTTCAATCCTGATGCTGCATTCTTCTTCATATAGCCCAGCATCTTGGATTATTTACTCGTAGCATAGAAATTGAGTAAGTATGGTCAGAAGATACAACCCTGATGCACACCTTTCCTGATTTTAAACCATGCAGTGTCCCTTTGCTCTGTTTGAATGAACCTCTTGGTCTACATACAGATTTTACGTGAGCACAATTATGTGTTCTGGACTTCCCATTCTTCACAGTGTTGTTGGTAGTTTGTTATGATCCATGCAATCAAATGTTTTTGCCTACTCAATAAAACACAGGTAAACATCTTTCTGGTATTCTTTGCTTTCAGCCAAGATCTATCTGACATCAATTCCACATCTTCTTCTGAATCCAACTTGAATTTCTGGCAGTTCCCTAGCAATGTACTGCTGCAACTGTTTTTTAATTACTTCAGCAAAATTTTACTTGGATATGATATTGTTTGATCATTTATGCATTCTGTTGGATCACCTTTCTTTGTAATGGGCACAAATGTGGATCTCTTCTAGTCAGTTGGCCAGGTAGCTGTCTCCCAAATTTCTTGGCATAGATGAGTGAGTGACTCCAGCATTGCATCTATTTGTTGAAACTTTTCAATTGGTATTCCATCAATTCTTGGAGACTTGTTCTTCACCAGTGCCTTCAGTGCAGCTTGGACTTCTTCCTTCAATATCATTGGTTCTTGATCAAATGCTACCTCCCAAAATGGTTGAATCTTGACCAGCCTTTTTTGGTACAATGGCTCTCTGTATTCATTACATTTGCTTTTGATGTTTCCTGCATTGATCAGTATTTTCCCTGTGGAATCCTTCAGTATTACCACTTGAAGCCTGAATTTTTTCTTCAGTTATTTCAGTTTGAGAAATCCCAAGTATATTCTTCCCTTTTGGTTTTCTAACTCCAGGTTTGTACATTTCATTATAATACTTTATTTTGTCTTTGTGAGCTGCCCCTGAAGTCTTCTGTTCAGCTCTTTTAGTTCTTCATTTCTACCATACACTTTAACTACTCTGTAGTCAAGAGCAGGTTTCTGAGTCTCTGCTGATGTCCACTGTGGTCTTTTCTTTCTTTATTGTCTTTTAATCACCTTTTGCTTTTTCCATGTTTGATATCCTTGATATCATCCCACAACTCATCTGGTCTTCATTTCATTTGGTTATTATTGTTCAGTGTCTCAACTCTATTTTTGAATTGGTTTCTAAATTCGAATCAGATATACTCAGGGTTATACTTTGGATCTTATGAATTTATTTACATTTTCCTCTGTTTCAACTTGAACTTGCAAATGATTAGCCATGTTCTGTTTTGCGGTCGGTACCTGGCTTTGTTCTGGCTGATGTTACCGAGCTTCTTCAATATAGTCATTGGTGAGCTGTGCTCTGAAATTGTGGGAACTCAGGTTGGTAGGTGGGTTTGGGGTACTGATTGAGAAAGTCTCTGGTATGCACCACTCCTCAGAAGGAAGATGGGGCAATCTGCTTCCGTAGTGCCTCAGAAACCCAAGGAGGGGTCGCTATGAGTTGGGTCCGACTCGACGGCACATAACAACAACAACAACAACATAGTATGCACTAGGTGGCGCAAATGGTTTGCATTCTGCTGCTGACCTAATGGTTGGCTGGTCAAACCTACCTAGTGATACAGAGGGAAAAAAGCCTGGGGATCTGCTTCCATTAAACTTACAACTAAGACAACCCTATGGAGCAGTCCTACTTTATAACACATGGGATTGCTATGTATTGGAATGCACTAGTTAGTAACTGAAAACAACACAACTGTGCTAATTCAGTTCTCCACGTGATATTTTAGGCCCTTAACTTTGCTTTGTTGTCCACTTGACCAAACATTGCCCCACTTCTCTTATTCATGCTTCTTAAGTGAAGGTTATATTATTTCTCTCTTTTGAGCTCTCCTTCTTTTGTTCGTGTGTCTTGTTCCACTGCTCTCTCCCTATTCCTTTTGTATCTCTGTATAGCAGGTTTTAAGAAACTCTTGTTGTGCAGTGGTTAAACACTAAGCTACTAACTTTTAAAGGCTGGCTGTATAAACCCACCATCTGCTCCACAGGAGAAAGATGCTGCAGTCTACTTTGGTAAAGATTTACAGCCTTGGAAACCGTGTGGAGCAGTTCTTCTCTGTCATATGTGGCCACTATGAGTTGGAATTGACTCAACAGCAATGTGTTGTGTTTTTTTTTTTTTTTTAAATAACAAATTTTTAGCTTCCGGAGCAGAGTATGTTAAAAATGCATATTCCTGGTAGAGGTACATCATCCATATCAAAACGCAAAATCCTTTGTCCTTCTATACTCACCAGGGCTGAGAAAGAAAGGTGACCTTGAGGCATTGTGATTCTTACGTACTCTAAAGTCAGGGAACCTTAGAATTGACCTAAAATACTAAAGGAGAGAAACATAGCTAATGATCTTCGTTGCACAACTAAATCGCCTAGGAGTATTTCAAGTTGATGTCTGAACTCCAATGTAGACCTCAGATATGTTCAGGGATGGAATCTTAGCAATGTAGTAGGTTTTATTGTTTTTAAAACACATTTTCCCAGTGATACTGCTATATGCCCCTGCCTTCATCTCTCCACTTCTTGTGATTTTTCCTTCCTTCTTAGGGTTAGATGGAAGCACCCCTGCCTTTGAGAGGGAGCGACTAATTAATCAGTTTAATGATCCCAGTAATCTCACCACCTGGCTGTTCCTTCTCTCCACTAGGTGAGTGGAACCCAAAAGGGGATGTCAGAGGGCTATGTTTGGGGCAATTGACTACATGGACAGGGACCCTAAGTCTCATTCAAGTTTAGTTAAAATAGGTCTGATCAGGTTTGTCACTAGTCTTAGAGGTTTCAGAGGGAGGACCCAAAGTGAGATTTCCATCAGTTAGAAGGATAGTCGTTATAGGATACCTTCATTAACAGTGACCACAATTTACTTTTCTCTCAGAAGTATTCTGACACTTACACCATGTGATGAGCATAAAAGTGTTTAAAAAAGTAGGAAGCACAATATAACTGTAAAGACTGATGGTGTTATTTGTGTCATGCCATGCAGCTCAAGGGTTGTGCTACCTTCTGCCATCAGAATGCCCTAGGCAGAGTATGAGCCACTCATTTTCCTAGGCTATTTCACTGAAAACATGACCTGTATGCAGCAGTTTCTCCTTGCCAAGTGACATGGCTCTGGGGCTAGGATATGGGACCTTACTTGTTACAGAGTGGTTGGAGAGTGGTTTTTCTTTCTGAGCTGGTAAGCACTTCTGTGTTAGATTTTTGGGGCACACTTTACTGCTTCAGGAGTATACAGGATAAAGAGGATGATGTTGTGGTAGAGTCACAGTGGGCAAACCAATTTGAAATCATTTTAATACAAAGGTCTCTGTTATCGTTGACTTGTGTCTTAAAGGGCTGGATGCTTGGGTGTGAATCTGATCGGTGCCAATCGAGTGGTGGTGTTTGATGCTTCTTGGAACCCTTGCCATGATGCCCAGGCAGTGTGTCGAGTGTACCGTTATGGCCAGAAAAAGCCATGTCACATCTATCGCCTTGTGGCTGATTTCACTCTGGAAAAGAAGATCTATGACCGTCAGATTTCTAAGCAGGGAATGTCAGGTGAGCCATCTTCCAGGCTCAGAGAATGACACGTCTATTAAAGCTACCCCATGTATAGTATTGGTGGTGGTGTAGTGATGGTGGTAGTGGTAGTCTGGGAACACAGGCTGGAGGGCTTTGAATCACTGAATCATGGAAAGCCAGTAGTTCCTCCCATGTCCTTCTGATTCCAGTAAGTGCTTAAGAGAAGACAACTCTACTTATGAAAAGTAGGTTTAATAATAAAAGCTAAGCTAGTTCTGTCAGTTTCTTCTATATGATGTCTTTGTTTTCCGAGGGCCAGAGTCCTGGTCTTTGACTTTCAGATATAGGATGGCCTGAGATGGTTTAGAGATAAGTGACAATGATGCCACCCAAAACTGCCCTTCTCCCAGCCAACTTTTGTACTTCTGTTTTTGCAGTCTTTTTGCCATGTACTGACTTTCCCTTGTCTGCTACCTTCTAGACCGGGTGGTGGATGATTTGAATCCAATGCTGAATTTCACTCGGAAGGAGGTGGAGAACCTACTACACTTTGTGGAGAAGGAGCCAGCACCCCAGTCATCCTTGAATATAAAGGGGATCAAGGAGTCAGTCCTGCAACTTGCCTGTCTCAAGTACCCTCACCTCATCACCAAGGTGAAGACCTGGGCACTTGTAGCCTTTAATGGGGCACTCTCTGGTGGCATAGTCCCCAAGGCATTTGACTGCTAACCAGAAGGCTGGCGGTTCAAACCCACCAGCCACTCCTCGGAAGGAAGACTGGGCAATCTACTTCCGTAGAGATACCGCCTCGGAAACCCAAGAAGGGGTCACTATGAGTAGGATCCGACTCGATGGCAGTGAGTTTTTTTTTAGTTTTTTTCTTCTGTCAGGGGAGGATTCTCTGGCAAGCCCCTTTCCCTCCACTGAGGTCTTATTTCACACAGGCAGTTTGGACTCATCTGGCTCTTTTCCTTACCCCTGACCACCCATCCTCACCCCAAGTCTCAATGCTGACATCAGCCATGACATCATTTGGCCAGTGTCAGTTTTCTTAGCAGAAATAGAGAGGAAAGTTGGGAAAATTTAGTTCTTTAATTTTCTGAACTCTCCCCATCCTTTTGGTATGGAAGTCAGGCTTATGTTACTGAAAGCTAGTAGGAGGTTAGACTTGTGAATTATATATGCTCTTGACAGAAAAAAAAGAAACCTGCTTGTGTCTGAGCAGACGTTTTGCTAGTGCCATAGACAGCTTTTTCTTGTTTTCAAAGTAAAGTTTATTGTGTATCAGTCATGGTGGCACAAAGACTGGTAATTAAATCAACATCCTCCTGTGTCCCTAGGAGCCTTTTGAGCATGAGTCATTGCTCCTTAACCGAAAGGATCACAAGTTGACCAAGGCTGAGAAAAAAGCAGCCAAGAAAAGCTATGAGGAAGACAAACGCACATCTGTCCCCTACACTCGCCCATCATATGCGCAGTATTATCCTGCCAGTGACCAGAGCCTGACCAGCATCCCTGCCTTCAGTCAGAGAAACTGGTGAGTCATCAAAGGGAAGGCTCTGTTCCTGGGCCAAGCTCAAACCTCTGAACCAATTCCTTTTTTAAACAAAAGGAGAGCCTACAACTTAGGGTTTGGCTACTGTGAACTAACAGGTTCTGTGCTTGGGTGAGGTACTGAAGAAGTTCAGCAACACTGGAGTTTTACGTGGCTCTGGTTTTCACTGCCATGGCTGGAGGAATCAGCTACTGGCCTTGGGACTCAGGAGACTCCTCTGAACCCCTAGGGGTTGGGGGCTGTAGCTTCTCAAAACACAGAGGCCCAGCCCTGCCACACAGCTGCCTCATAGCACCTTGGCCCTAGACCTTGCCTTAGCAGTGAGGTTCAAGGGTGAAAGCCAGGTCCTCTCTGGGTTTTGGGTTGTAGTCAGAAAATTTTGCTGCTCCTAATGATACGTCACTCTGTGATTGTGCCACAATCCTAGGCAGAAAATCTTTGGTGTTCTACTTCTTAGAACTGTTCAAAATCTGAGCAGAATATGGAAGCTGACTAAGAAGAAGTAGGGAGAGAGGCTTTTTGAAAGAAAATACAGAATAGTTACTTATGTGTGATTGTTTTTTCTTATTTTGAGACAAGATGTCTCACAGCCCTCACTCTTCCATTCAGTAACCAGATTAGCTGCCTGACTGATTTTAAAACCGTTTGATTGATTATCTGGAATTAAAGATCATTCTTTTATTTGAGGGGAATAGATTTAAAACTCTTTTGTTATGTAGATTCTCATATAAGAAACTTGGCAAATAAGAATATAAAGAGCTGAAACCATGTAAGATTTTAGAAGACTGATTTTTTTTTTTTTAATTAGTAAATTTGCTATATTTTGTGTACAGGTGCTTTAAAGTAAAAAGTCATTCCCTTTCAAAGCCTTAAGATTTTTCATTTCTATATGGTCATCCAAGATACTATTGCTTGAGAATACTCTCCTCCCCTGTCTCTATTCTGGGATTTTTCTATGTCACAGCAGGAATGAATTAAGCCTAAGTCTCATGGGAAGAAAGCCATATGGGGGGAAGATGGACAAGTGGGTTGGGCTGAGGACATGTCAGTACCATTCCTGCCCCAGCTGTGAGAATCACATTTGATGAGTCATGCCAGGGACCTGCTAATTCCTTACCTTTCTGAGTACATGTAAGGAGACCTTCTTACCCAGTTCCTGGACTCAGCACCTACAGAGTATGAGGCTTGGGCTGAGTTCTTGTCACTCTTCTGACTTCTGATTCTTGGAGGTGTCTCACTGACATCTCACCAGGGCTCCTAGCTCCTGCAAAGCCACCCAGGGCAGACCTTGGGGACGTGGGCCCTGACTTGGTAGAACTGTCTGTGACTGATCTGTCTGGGAATTTGGGAGTCCACAGGGTCCAGGAGGCTGCCCAAAGTGGCCTAGAAGAACTGAGAGCAGCAGCAAAGTGGAAGGAATGAGTCAGATGACTTTAGAAGAGTTGCAAAAATCTTTTAGTTACCAGCAGCTTTCTCAAGGTATCTACAGAGAGGTGAACAGTGAGGAGTACATAGTTGACTGTGTGGTAACATTTTGGTGTCTAGGTAGTATGAAATGCAGAGCTGGTGCCCAGGCTGGCTGAAATACTGTGTCATTTAGAAGGCTGCCTTTGTGCATAGTGCTCTGGCAGCTTCTGCTGTATGGTGTTCATGATTAGACAGGCACTCTAGAGACCGACTCAGGCAGAAGCCAGGGAGCCTGATGAAAGGTAATGCAGAGGAGAGAGGTGCTTGCATTACTTACTGAGAATTAAGGTTGAAGAGAAAGAAAGATGGTTAAAGTGTTGGGATACATGGGCTCTCAGGGTCACCTGAACACAAGATATCATGGAGCCCTTTTTCCTTGAGTGAGTGGGAAAATTCCACTTACTTTTTTTTTCAATTCAGGAGCTCTGGTGGCATTGTGGTTAAAGTACTGGGTTGCTAACCACAAGGTTGGTGGTTCAAACTCACCAGCCACTCCATGGGAGAAAGATGAGACAGTGTGTTTCTGTAGAGATGTACAGCCTTGGAAATCCTAAGGGCAGTTCTACTCTGTCCCATATGGTCTCTCTGAGTTGGAATCAAGTTGATGGAAGTGTTTTTTTTTGAGTGGGTGTTGGGGGGGTGGGTTTCAACTTACCATCCATTGTGGTTCTTCCCTGATCATATCTTTGCATCTTTCTAACTTACCTCCGAGGACTGATTCCTCATGTTGTTGTTGGTAGTTGTCATCAAGTCAGTTCTGACTCCTGGTGGTTCCATGTGTGCAGTGTAGAACTGCTGCATAGGGTTCCCAAGCCCATGACCTTTGGGAAGCAGATTGTGTGGCCTTTTTTCTTAGGCATCTGTGGGTAGGTTGAAGTGCCAATGTTTCCGTTAGTAACTGGGTGCTTAACCATTTGCACCACCCAGGGACTCCTCATGTAGACAGTCTACATTCTAGAGGAGCATATGTTTCTTGACATCTCCAGAAAGGTGTTATTCTACTGAAAATTGATTCTCCTTACTCTGCCTTTCTGTCTCACTTCTACCTCTAGTCTCTTTGAATTGACTGGACTCTGAAGCTGTCTTCTGATTCTCTCTCTCTCAGAAACAACTGAGTGTGGAGAATGGGGGAAATCTGAAGCCACTCTGTAGCCTTTGGAGAAAGGGAAGTAAGGGCTGTTCTGCTGAACTCTCTTGGCATGCTGGTCTTTTCTCACAGGCAGCCAGCACTGAAGAGTGATGAAAAGCCTGTGGCCAGTGTGCGTCCTGTGCAGTCCACCCCCATCCCCATGATGCCTCGGCATGTCCCGCTGGGAGGCAGTGTAAGCTCTGCCTCCAGCACAAATCCAGCTATGAACTTCCCGATCAACTACCTGCAGCGTGCGGGAGTCCTCGTGCAGAAGGTGGTCACTACAACAGGTCAGGAATTCCTGGATTCTCTTCCAGGGGTGCTTTTTTTTTTTTTTTTTTAATTACTTTCTTGCCATTGTTCTATGTGTGCATTTATTATTTGTGATATAAGCAGCTTATAAATATTTTTTTCCCCAATTACTTTCTTCATTCAGAAAGTTTTATTAAACATCTTCTGTATTGTAGGTCTTACTATGCTTGGTGCTGTAGGTAAAAATAGAGAGGATGATCCCTGATCTTGAGGAATTTGCATTTTGGTGAAAGAGCTTGTGTTAGGCTGAGTTCTAAAGAAGCAAAACCAGTAAAGCTTACATATACATATAGAGAAAGAGACACTTATCTTAGAAAAATGGCTCATGCACTTATAGAAGCTGGAAAGTCCCAAGTTCTTAGATCAAACATCAAGCTGGAGGCTTTTCCTGACTCACACTCTGCAAGGGCTGATGAACTCAAGGTTGGCAGGCAGTGTACTGGCTGTTGACTCCAATGAATGACGAATCTAAGATCTCCAGTCCGAATGGTGGATTGTTTGCTCATGGACAGTTGAAGGCAGCACAACAGAATCCCAATCCGCAGAAGAGTGTCTCTTTTCCTAGGATGTCCATAAATATACTGCAAGCAGCCCACACCCCTAGAACATTCCTTCTCAATGGATTGGCTGCTCAAAACATATACATCCAATCCCATGATGGGAATAACCCACATCACAATTGCTTAAACCACACAGAATTGTGGTCCAGCCAAGTTGACACATAGCTCCAACTATCATAGAGCTCAAGAATAACATAGAACCAGGTTTTCTTGAGTGTGGTGTGTGGGGTAGACTCTTACTACTACAGGGATTGCAGAAATGTCATTGGGACACACAGTTGGCCTCAGAAGGTCTCACAGAGAAGCTGTAAAGTTCTAAGTCCTACCTCACTGGTGTCAGTGGGTACAGGGGTCAGCCATCCACCTTTCTAGTAATTAGACCTGAATGTCAGTTGCTTCTTCTTTGTGAGTCTAATGTGGCTCGAGCATCTCCCCCCACCTTCCCAAGCCCAGAGATGGGTCAGTGGATCTAAGCAGCCCATCTGCTCCCATGGTTGATTCTGTGACTCAGGGTGATTGAGAAGGAAAGTATTTCATGATCCCGTTTTTATCTTGTTATTTAGAAATATTCATGATATGTAAATTTTAATGAAAATCTTTTGATTTTGCTGAGTGTAAAAATAATACATAGCCATTATACAATACTTGAAATAAACAGAAAGAAAAAGAGGACCCCTCATAATCTCACTATTCTGCTGATTCTTGAAAATGCTTTTCACTCTTTAGTCGGGCTTTTGAGTAACACCAGCAAGGAAGAGGATGAGACTATTTTTGGAGCCTAAAGTACTAAGGAGCAGATACATACATGCACATAGTTTAGAGAGGATAAAATAATACAGAAATAACCATATGAACTAAAATTTTTTCCAAAGCAAAAACTCTACAAAATTTTAATCAAATCAAGGGCAATTGATCAGAAAACTGATCGGGTTTCTAAAAAGTTTCTTGTTTTTATAGTATTCTTGGTTTAGACAATTGTGAGAGGTCCTGCCTTTTTCATCTTCTTTGGTTCTGAATCTTTGTCCTATTGAAAGGCTTCTAGAGAAACCAGTGAGGAGCTGAAGTGGATGTGGAGTTTACATTTTCTTTCCCTCCTTTTCAGTTGGGCCCTATGTAATCTAAATGTGAGATCTGTGTCTTCACTAGATATTGTTATTCCTGGACTAAACAGCTCCACAGATGTACAGGCAAGAATTAATGCTGGTGAGAGTATCCACATCATACGTGGGACAAAAGGTAAGAGCCTGACTGAGAGACCCATTCTTGTCCTTCCTTTAATTGAGACTACTGAACTGGGGAAGCAGAATAAATACATATGGCTTGAGCTAGAAGACAGGAGCTCTGGTAGTGTAGTGCCTAAAGCATTTGACTGCTAACCAGAAGGCTGGTGGTTCAAACCCACCAGCCACTCCTCAGAAGGAAGGTTGGGCAATCTACTTCTGTAGTCATACTGCCTCAGAAACCCAAGGAGGGGTTACTATGAGTCAGGTCCGACTCGATGGCAGTATGTGTGTGGGGGGGGGCGGGGCTAGAGGACGGATAGGAATCATCTATATGAATGGCACATGTAGGAGGAGGCTTGAGAAAAGGACATTTCTAGTTGCTGAACAGAGTTGGGTTGGGCCTAAGAGCTATCAGTGGTTTAAAAGAGTGAGTTAGCATCCCTGTGTTCCTGTATTTTCCCATCATTGTTATGGAGAATCTTGGGGGTGGGGATGGGTGGATACAGGGAAAAGGAAATTGGAGGGCAAAAGCTATGGAATGGGTTATAAGCCAACATTTATGTTATTGTGTCATCTTTACCTACTTGCAGGGGGGAGGGTGTTTCCCAATTAGGAAATAAACGTACTGTGTGGATGGAACACACATTGGTTGCATGATGGAATTTTTGAATGTGATAATTTAAAAAGGACACATCTGTCTCTGGCCTCCTTATGGAGGGAGATGAGATTAGTGGAATGAGACACCTGGAACGAACAGTGTCAGAACACAAGCTAGGCCTTTCTCTCATATCAGCCTTTATGCCCCAACACTGTATAAGGTTCCCTGAGGCTCTTTGCTTAGTAAGGAGGTTTTTCCCCTAGTCTCTGTTGGGTAAAGTATCGCTCGGCTCAGGGAGGTGTCATAAGACAGAAGGACACATATTAAAGCAAAAAAAAACTTAACTTGGCAAACTGGCCCACCGGCCAGATCCAGCCTGTAGCCCATAGTAATAGCCAGTGAGCTAAGAATGGTTTTCACATTTCCAAATGGTTGCAAGAGTTCAAAAGAATACTACTTTCTGACAGGTCAAAAATACAGGAAATTCACACTTCAAGATCAATAAATAAAGATATATTGGCACACAGTCATGCCTGTTCAGTGATGTATTGTCTATGGCTTACAAAGCTGAAAATATTTGCTATCTGGCCCTTTAAAATAAAGTTTTCTACCCCACCTCCCCAAACTATTGCCCTAAGATAATCTTTAAACCTTAAACCAAAAATAGCTTCTGAAATCCTCTTAAAACCAAATAATAGTTTAACTTAACTAGTAAAAAAGGTCTGTTTTGAGCATTATGCTTTTTTAAGAGCTATGTATATGGGATCAAAGTGACAGCAGCTACTTGAAAGTTACATAGTAAAAATAGAGGGCAGTTAGTTTATGTTAATGAGGAGGGAACAACTCAGAAAAGATGGGTGAGAATGATTGCACAACTTGAAGAATGTAATCAGTGTCACTAAACTGTACATGTAGAAACTGTTGAATTGGTGTGTGTTTTGCTGCATATATTATCCCCAACAACAACAAAATAATTTTTTTAAAAAACAAAATACAACAACAACATAAAACAAAATTTGCCTGCTCCTGCCTAAACCAAAAACCAAACCAAACTCATTGCTATCGAGCCATTTCTGACTCATAGCAACCCACATTGGGTTTCCGAGGTTGTAAATCTTTACAGAAGTAGATTGCCCCGTCTTCCTTCCACCGAGCATCTGGTGGGTTTGAACTGCTGACCTTCTGGTTAGCAGTCAAGTGCCTTATCTACTATGCCACCAGAACTCCTTTCCTGGCCTAAAGGCAGCCCTGAAATGCCAGGAGGTTGATGAAAAGACACACCCCATACCTAAGGGAAGGTGGATTAGTGCCTTGTTAGAATAGAAAGCAGGTCTTGAATTACTCTAGTGGAGGGAAGGAGGGTATTGAGACAATTTGTTTTCTTCCTCCAGATCTAGAGGACCAGGACCAGAGTATTTGGGAGCAGATGGGCCAATTTACTCTCATTCACAGTACCCCCTTTATTTTCTCCATAATATTTAACCCTTCCTGATGTTTCTAGTGTAACTGTCTGTCTCTCCTCTAGGGCTTAAGCGCCACAAGATAGGGACCTTGTCTGTCGTGTATTCTTGTACCTCTAGTGTCTAGATTAGTACCTGGTATATTGTAGGCATGCAATCAATGCCTGTGGAATAAATGAATAATTATGGGTCCACCCACTCCTCAGTTTAGGGATCTATAGGGGATTTGAGACCTAATTTTATAATATTTTCCAAGCCCACAGTGGTTAGGCTTAGAGTTTCCCAGGGTTGGCTGTGCTTTGTGTCTGCTTCTAGCGGTTTTCCTCATGTTTCTCTCTAGGGACATATATTCGTACCAGCGATGGGCGGATTTTTGCTGTCCGGGCGACTGGCAAACCAAAGGCCCCTGAAGATAGTCGGACAGCTGCCTCAGGTGTGGTAATTTGCACTTTTCATTGACCTACACAGCATTTTTTTGGTTTGGTTTGTAATTAATTTAATTTTTGAATAAATAATGTATGTATACATGGTTCAGAATTCAAAACACGTAACAGGGGATAAAGTGAAAAGTAAATTTTCCTCCTACCACAACCCCCAGCCATTCCTTGTGCCTTCCTTTTACTAGTATATTGTTTTCACAAGTATTCTATACAAATACATGGCACAGGGATATGTGTGTGTATGTGTGTGTAAAATACTATAGTACACTCTTTAGTTCTAAAACCCACCAGTTATATCTCAGTGCTTGTTCCTTATCATTCCTTCTAGATATGCCTCCATGAAGGTTTGTACAGGAGGCTTTTAGAAGGGTACAGGCATACTTCGTTTCATTGCACTTTGCAGATACTGTATTTTTTTACAAATTGAAGTTTTGTGGCAACCTTGCATCTGTTGGTGCCATTTTTTCAACAGCATATGCTCACTTCATGTCTCCGTGTCACATCTTGGTAATTCTCACAATATTTCAAACTTTTTCATAATGCTATTGCACACTTAATAGACTTTAGTATGGTAAACATAACTTTCATATGCACTGGGAAACCAAAAAATTCTTGTGACTTGCTTTATTGCAATATTCCTATCATTGTAGTAGTCTGGAACTGAACTTACAATATCACCAAGGTATGCCTATATAACACAGTGTCTTAGCTATTTCTCTGTTGCTTGGCCTTTAGATTGTTTTACTCCACTGTTCCTGACAGTACTGTTTCACAGATGTGTGAGTGTATCTGTAGGATAAGTTTCCTAGAAGCGGAATTCCAGGTTAAAGGGTGTCTGCATAGCCCATTAACAATGTTAGAATCTCTGCCAGATTTTCTTCTGTGGAAGTGGTTCTCATATCCTCCTACCACCAGGGTATGAGAGCTATACAATTTTGTATTATGGAAATTTTCCTACATATGGACAAGTTAGAAGAACAGAACTGTGAACATCCTATACCCTGAAATTAGATACTATGATTGTTAATATTTTACCATTTTAAAGTCATCTCTCTCTATCCTTCCTTTTTATTGTTTGAAACATTTCTAAGTTGAAGACATCCTGTCACTTTATACCTAAACACTACTTCAATGTGCATCTCCTAAGATTAAGGATGTTTCCCCCCTTACAACAGCACAATTATCACACCAAAAAAATAAATAACAATTCCCTATCACCTGGTATCCAGGCAATACTCAGATTTACCCACTTGTCCCAAATGTCTTTCATAGTTGTGCATTTTGTAAACTAGAATGGACTGCTTTGTAACGTCATTTTCCTTTTTTTCACTCTCCCTGCTCACTCCCCGCCTCCTGCCCCTAGAAAGAGTCTGACTAGTTAGAAAAACAATCTCATTGTTTCATGTCCATTATCTCATAGGTTCACAGTGACCTTAGAGTATTACAGATTGGAGAAGTAGGGTGTAGAGAAGTTACAAATCTTGCATGGATAGATTTGTTCACTAAATCAAAAATGAGACACATAATCTAAGAATGGAATTCTTTATTTGTGACTGTGAAAGGTTGACTAGATGATGCTGTTCGGACATTAAACTATTTGAATTTTGAGGACCATAGTATAGGATTTATTTTTTAATAAAATTTTTTCCTATACCTTCCTTCTCTGCCTGGCCATTCTGGTTCTCAGTTACCTACATTCTGTCCCCAGGTTCTCAGGGGCCTTCTCGTGAGTCCACAAGCAACGGCAGACACAGTGCCTCATCACCCAAAGCCCCAGACCCTGAGGGGCTGGCCAGGCCCGTCTCTCCCGACAGCCCAGAGATCATCAGTGAGCTCCAGCAGTATGCAGATGTGGCTGCTGCCCGGGAATCCCATCAGAACTCCCCCAGCACCAATGCCGCCCTGCCTGGCCCCCCGGCCCAACTCGTGGACAATAGTGCTGTTCCTGGGACAGCTCTTGGGACTGAGCCTCGACTTGGGGGTCATTGCCTCAACAGTTCCCTCCTAGTGACCAGCCAGCCCTGTGGTGACAGGCACTCAGTCCTGGACTTAAGAGGCCACAAGCGAAAGTTGGCCACACCACCTGCTTCCCAGGAGTCAGTCCGCCGGCGATCCAGGAAGGGCCATCTGCCAGCCCCCGTGCAGCCGTATGAACACGGGTATCCAGTTTCTGGCGGGTTTGCCATGCCACCCGTCTCCTTAAACCATAACCTCACCCCTCCCTTCACCTCCCAGGCTGGGGAGAACTCCCTATTTATGGGCAGTACTCCTTCCTACTACCAGCTGTCCAATTTGCTGGCAGATGCCCGCCTGGTATTCCCAGTGACTACTGACCCTCTGGTGCCAGCAGGCCCTGTCAGTTCCTCCTCCACGGCTACCTCAGTCACTGCCAGCACCCCCTCCTTCATGCTCAACCCCTCTGTGCCAGGGATACTACCCAGCTACTCACTCCCATTCTCACAGCCACTCCTGTCCGAGCCGAGGATGTTTGCGCCTTTTCCTTCCCCTGTCTTGCCCAGCAACCTTTCGCGGGGCATGTCTGTCTACCCAGGCTACATGTCCCCACATGCAGGCTACCCAGCTGGTGGCCTCCTTCGGTCCCAGGTGCCTCCGTTTGACTCTCACGAGGTTGCTGAGGTGGGGTTCAGCTCCAATGACGACGAGGATAAGGACGATGATGTGATAGAGGTCACTGGGAAATAGCTGGGGAGCCCCTCCCCACCTCACTTGGGGTCCTCAGCAGGTTGCCCACCAAGCTGGAAGGCAGTGATCTGGGCTCTCTGAGAATAGGGCAGTTGACAAAAAGGAAAAGGAAGAGAAGAAAGAAGAGTGGTTGACCATAGTGGCAGGACTCGGCTGCAGTTTAACAAAAGAGGCAAAATATCCACCAGGGCAGCAATAGCAGGGAAAACAGGGACCCAAAATAGTGACGGGGGGGCGGGGCAGCCTGCCTCTCTTCCTGCCTGCTTTGCTTATACTGTCTGCTTGCTTATTCACCCATCTGAGTGTAGAGGCCCATATCCCATTTCTGTCTTTGGAAACATTCTCTCCCGAGAGAGCTGCCTTACTAGGTGACTTAGCTTGGCCTGGGGAGGGGGAGGGAGGGTGATAGAGGGCAGATGGGCAGGGGAGCAGACTGAGATTCCATGTAAAGTGGGGTCTATTTAGGGGTGGGAAGGAAGCAGACCAGGTGTATGTGTTTGAGTGTGTGTACGTGTGTGTGTAAGTATGTATATGTACAACAGGCCAGGGGTGAAGGTGGGAGGGCAGGGAGGGGGGGAATGGGCTAAGGGGGAAACTTGAAAATGCATTTATCTTTTGTAAGTGGAAATCAGAGTGTGGTGGTTCATGGCAACTATTTGTGTGAACTTCAGGGTGAGCACAGGAGAACAGCCATGGAAACCATAAGTTTCCTTCTAGTTGGGTAAAAAGAAGGCTCAGCTAACCCAAGTCCCTGGTTTTCAGAGCCACATTTGTTTTAGAATTTGGAGGAAATCATGAGACAAAATGGGCATTACCAATCTCTGTCTCTTTCCCCAGTGGCTGTCTCTGAGCAGCTCTCCCTTTCCAGGATGTGAGATTGTCTGTGTGCAGAGGCTGGGAGGGTAAAGCGTTACTCTGTGTGAGTGAGTGGGCAGGACTTATAGCTGAAAGAGACATTCTTTACATGGACGGAACTGAACCCCCAACTGCCTATCCTGGTGGCCTTTCTTTATCCCTCTTCTTCCCTATTAGAGAGCTCCATGTTAATTTATTTCTTATGGGAAATTATTTATTATTTGGATTTTTCATGTGTCTTGTTTTTTTGGCTTGCTTGTTTGTTTTAGGTGGGTTTTAGGGGAAAAGATGGTAGGAGATGGGAAGTTATAAGATATTTCAGACCCATAGCTTCTGGTAAAAAAAAAAAAAAAAAAATCTGGGGTGGATAGTAAATTGACCTGGGAAAGAAAGTTAGACTTGACCAGAGTTTACACTAAACAGCTATGTTTTGGGGAGATGACTTCACAGGAAGATCAAGGAATCCTGGGACTGGGCAGTTAGTGGGGATGAGTCTCACTCCACAAAGACCAAAACAAATTTGGAGTTGTGTACTCATGGCATAACCTTAGAGGCAGGCTCTCTTATGCTTAGTAGTGAAGCTGTTGAAAGGAGGCTGCTGGGGAACAGGGAACAGACTTGATTTCCTGTTGGGCGATGGCTTGGCTTCTCCAGCCTATCAGATGATCAGTGTGGGTCTGGTTTCTGCTACTTCCATCCTCCCACAGAGGAGCATGGAAGAGCCCTTATCTGTAAGAGCCTGAGTCTTGATTTCTCTTAAAAGAACATACCAGTCATTCTGGGTCTCCCCTTTGTTGTTGATGTCCAGGGGCAAGGCTGTAGTCCTTGAGCATAAACACTGGCTGTCTTCCTATTGGCTTTCCTGCCTTGCCCTTGCCCCACTATTGAGACTTTGCCAGGCATTCTTTACGATGAACAAACTTTGTGTGGCTTTAGAGCTTTACCACCCACCCGGGGATAACCTGGCCAGGAAGTTACTACACTTGCCTCTCCCCAGACCAAGAGGCAGCCTAGCCAGTTTCAGCTGCTTGTACAACTCTTCTGACTAACCCCTGTTTGCATTTTTGGGGGGCCTCAACACACTTTGGGGTATTATCCTCAGAGAAGAGACAAAGGAGATGGCTGATGGGGTGTGTGCGTGTGTATCTGTGTGCTGTCCAGTAACACCAAAAGTGGAACTTAAAGAGCTTTTTCTGTTTTCATAAGCACCCTGTCAAACCCTTAACTCTGCTACTCATAGAAGCCTTAGATCTACAGTTTAGCTATGCAAATTACTTTTTTAATTTAAAAATAGCAGTTCCAACCAGTGCTTTCTTTTTCAGATGCATCCTAAGGATGGAGGGTAATGGGATTCAGTTGGAGTGGGCTCTCAGGTTTAAGTTGGTACAGTAGTAGTGAGCTAGTCTGGATTCTGATCTGCAGAGCACACTCACAACCTGGGCTACACTGACTGACTAAGGTCCTGGAGCACTGGGATCCTAAAGGGTGTGTGTGTGTGTGTGTGTGTGTGTGTGTTTGAGGGAAATAGGGACATTTCTATGTTCACGTCTAGAAAGTCACTGCAGCAGGCTCTGAGAATCCAGAACCCATCCCAACCCATACAGAAACTAGTCACTGCACGTGGAGGGGCTTTTCAAGTTGCCAGGAAGGGAATGCGTGTTCTGAGAGGCTCACTCTCTACCTGGTGGGTCAAGGGGCTGGGTCTTGCTTCATCTTGGGAGAGGCCATAATTCTGGAAGGCTGACCTGGCTACAGAAGGCTTTCTTTGATATGTGCAGCTTATTTTGTGTGTGTGTGTGTGTGTGTGTAAGGGAAGGGTCTGGAGGTGTGCGTATGTGTAGCAGAGGGTGGGGTAGGGTAGAAAATGGGAAATTGGAGTGCTACTGTTTCTGTGCTTTGGGTTTTTGTTTTTTAATGAACCTGAAAACACTTCCCTGACTTTTCTGTTGTCTCTTTATGTGTTTGCTGATAGGCAAATGTGCATGCACACCAAACATGAGCCAGTGTGTAAGGAAAGCAGGAGATGTGTCAGAACCTAAGAACCATGTTTTATAGCCTCTTTGATAAGGAACACTTGGTGGTGGCTCCTACCCACTATCCAGGTCTGAATGAGGGGAAAATGGTGATAGAAGGAAGGCACAAGACCAGACCTAGGCATTTTTCCTCACTGTTGTCTTCCACAGGCTGTTTTCTAGGGCCTTTCAGGCCCCATCCATCTGGTATAGCCTAGGTTCTCAGCCTAAAGATCCCAGGACTGTTGTAATGATTCAGGAATACCATTTGTAGTGATGCTTGTTCCTTTTCTTAATGTGTTTCTGGATAAAAATTAGACAGGGACAAGGCAGTCATTTAAGTAAGAAAATAAATGAACCATGTTGGATCAGAACTGTTCCTTCAGATTGGATATTTGCAAAGTCGTCATCCCCTTGAGTTGTGCTTCTTAAGCACCCATCTCATCATCTCTTAAGAATAACTCAATTTGGTCTTTGGAACTCTCTTCCCTAGGAATTGGCATGTGGAGTCTTTATATACTTGTAAGTCTCATCTAAATATGAAATTTCCCACTCCAGGAGCTTGAAGCAAAGGGCTGGGGCAATGTTTAAAGTCCAGTTTTGCAGATCGGTTGAAAATGCAAGCAGACTTCTGTGGTCTGTGTGGAACTGTCACTCCTAAAACTGCCTGCAGAGCAGGACCCTCTCTCCTCAGTCTTTTTAAGCCTGGCAATTGCTCTGGAACTGAATCTGCATCCCACATCCCCGGGTGGGTCTTCTGGAAGCTTTACATTCCTCATTCCTAGTGTTCCTGGATTTGACCCCTTTCCTCCTGCCTCTCAGCTCCCTGTGATTTCTCAGGAGACTGATGTCTCCCTTCTGAGCCATGGCCTCCTGTGCACCTAGCAAAGTGGCTCTTACTCCCACCAAAATTCCCAAAAGCAGAGATCCTCTCCCCAAAGGACCCCCCAGGAGACTTTCTGACCCTCTGCTGACTGTTTCCAGGAAATCAGTACCTCATAGCCTGTCTGTGAGAATGTCCTGATCTCCATTAGTCACCTTCTGACTCTGTTCTCCTTCTGCTGTCTGTCCTATATATTCCTTTGTGACCCCTTATTGCCCGTTATGTGCCAGTACCTTGGCCCTGGGCCTTTTAGGAATTGCTGAGTCTTAAAACAATGAACTTCTGAGCAGGCAATGCCCATTTTTACCCTTCAGAGTCCTGAGTCTACCCTTTCCCCTCTCAGATCAGTTTGATGTAGTGATCCAGTGCATTTGATAGCCAGGCAGGCAGCAGAGTGCAGTACAGAGGGCTGGGAGGTTTGGGTACTCTCCATTACCACTACTGGGGTGATACTCAGAAAAAGGGACCTTATACTGTGACCTGACACAGGACCCTCCCTGGAAGAGAGCTCAGCCCAGGTGTATGTGTGTATGCGTGCGTGTGTGTATGTGCACCTTGATGTAAACTGACTTATCTGGTTGTGCTACTCAGGGTGGGTTGGAGACTCACCAGAAGAGTCTCCTCAGCCTGCCCAAGACTGGTTTTCTGCTGTTCCCACTCCAGGTGTCAGGGAAAGGGGGTCCAGGTGTGTTGAGGGGGTTGCAATGGATAACCACTAAGGCCACACTGCTGCCAGGAAGAATAGGGGAAGATGAGGTGGCCCAGGTACCTGGCACCTGGCTTTGGTTTTCCATCTTCTTTCCTCAGGATGCCCCCTGAGGCCTGGGACCTGCACCTAGCTTTGAGGAGAGTCTGTGGCTGGGTGTACCAGCTGCTGGTATGATCATGGGCTTCCCTCCTCTCTTGGCAAGGCAGGCACTTCTGCCCCAGAGCCTGGGCAACTGGCTGTTTCTATGACGTATTTATTTTTACTTGTGTTTCATGTCACTTTTTTAAAAAAGCAAACAGAACAATTGTAAGTCAGTATAACTGCCTATCCGTTTTCTTTATTTCTCTTTTTGTAAAATAAAATTTAAACTCAAGAAGGCAACGTTGTTTGATCAAGGACTTGTCCGGACAGCCGTTTGGCTGGGTGGTGGTGGAAGGGATATAACTTAGAATGTAGTGGGCACTGGATAGCACTTGGGGGTGGTATAGGTGGGAAGAGAGGGCACATTGCTGGCAGGCTCTTGGTACAGTGGGATTCACTAGGCTTTTTCTGCCTTTGCTCACCTGAAGAGGACTGCATTTCCAGGGCTACAGGGGAACTGGTGAAGCCTGCTGGAGTGGCTTATGGTGAGCCGGTCCTCAGTCATGGCAAGTCCTTTACCACAGCCCTGGCTGGGCTTGGAATGGCTGGGGCTTGATTAGGCCTGGCATCACTGCCTT